TGGCAATCAGTACAGCTAGTTATAAAACTCAACCTGGTAATCAGTACAGCTAGTTATAAAACTCAACCTGGTAATCAGTACAGCTAGTTATAAAAATCAACCTGGCAATCAGTACAGCTAGTTATAAAAATCAACCTGGCAATCAGTACAGCTAGTTAATAAAACTCAACCTGGCAATCAGTACAGCTAAGTTATAAAAATCAACCTGGTAATCAGTACAGCTAGTTATAAAAATCAACCTGGTAATCAGTACAGCTAGTTATAAAACTCAACCTGGTAATCAGTACAGCTAGTTATAAAAATCAACCTGGTAATCAGTACAGTGATGCAAAAGAGTACTATACAAACACTAAGCAGTAAAAATTCCACTTGTAATACTGAGATCACCACTAACCCTCAAACAAAAATAGAACAGCACGTCTCTGAACGTAACCTTTAAACTGTACGAACAGATGAATAAAACAAAAGAATAAATGAAAATCAGCAAGTTTGCCAAAGCACGAAACTTACTAGTAGAATGGAAGATAAAAATCTATCAAAGCAAAAAAGAAACCAAGAAAGTTGTTATAAAAGTTAAGAGAAAATGTAAAAGGATAAAAAGTAATATCATAGAGGACTGCCCAGTTCATAGAGGTCAAAACAAACCTACTTATGTACATCTCTTCACATACATATATCAACAAAAAATTTAATAATTGTAATCTAACTGTAGAAGCCATTTCATTGGTCACTTCATTCCACATCTTTATAATTCTAACAAAGCCAAAATCTGTTGAAAAACAAGCCTACAGAGGAAAGATAATATGATGTTCTGGGGATGGATGAGTTATCTTATAGGCATAGGTTAAGATATGCTCTTGAGAAAGAGAGACGAATTAATGTTACTGCAATTTACAAAATTAGCTGGTTTCATTGTACTATATCCTGAAGATAATAGAACACAAGTTTAAGACTTGGAAAAGCCAGGTGAGGCTCCAGTTGAAACACTGTAATTTTACTAACAGGGTGATTAATTTATGGAACGAGTTGCTTCTAGCCAACACTTTACAAGAGTTCAAGAAAGGAATAATAACAGTAAGGGTACCCAATTGATGAAACAATGCATTCTAACCTTTGTAAGTAGAAGTTAAAAAACAATTTATTTAACTAGCTGTACTGATTACCAGGTTGATTTTTATAACTAGCAATTTAAATATTCATGTGAAAATTCAAGGTTACTCTGTGGCTATTGTAGTTTTTCACATGAATATTTAAATTGGTAGCTACAGAATAATCTTGAATGTAGTTTTTCACATGAATATTTAAATTGATAGCCACAGAATAATCTTGAATGTAGTTTTTCACATGAATATTTAAATTGGTAGCCACGGAATAATCTTGAATGTAGTTTTTCACATAAATATTTAAATTGGTAGCCACAGAGTAACCTTGAATGTAGTTTTTCACATGAATATTTAAATTGGTAGCCACAGAGTAACTTGAATGTAGTTTTTCACATGAATATTTAAATTGGTAGCCACGGAATAATCTTGAATGTAGTTTTTCACATGAATATTTAAATTGGTTCAAGGTTACTCTGTGGCTATATGTGAAAAACTACAGAATATTTAAATTGGTAGCCACGGAATAATCTTGAATGTAGTTTTTCACATGAATATTTAAATTGGTTCAAGGTTACTCTGTGGCTATA